CTTGTGGAGAGGCAAGGCCCATATGGCATCTCGCGAGATCTGTTGCCTTCATCCTTCTGAGGGCGGTCTGGGTATGCCTAGCATTGAGATTCGTCAATATATGCTTCGCATTACCTTTCTAGACCCTAATGTGTCGTGGTTTGGATGAGGTGGGCACCTTTTGGAAGAAGATGTCCGAAAACATTTCCCATCCTGAGAAGTGTACACTCGTGCGAGGAGGAGGCCGGTCGTACTCCTCGTCTCAAGTGCTCCTTCTACCGCGAATGTCGTCGTGCTTTGAAGCTCCTCTTGCGGACGTCGGATGGCCTCTCCGACGCCCAAGCGTTGTCTCGTAAGGCATTATATCGATTGTTAGTTAGGGGTCCGTTCGAGATACTCTGATCGACGAGCTCGGTCTTACGAAGCAGGAGGCTCGCTCGATATGGCCTTGGGCGCCTGGGTTGAAATGTCTCACTAACGATGAGGCATCACTCACCTGGCTGATGATTCGTGGGGCCCTCTGGGTCGGCAAAAGACTTTGTTCAGCAGGCTTGGAGAAATATCAAACTGTCGTCGCTGTACTGGGGAAGTCGAGACCATTGGTCACGCCTTTTTCAGTGCAAGACGGTAGTGCCGTTGTGCAAGTTTGTTGAAGGCCTCATGGTTCGCATGCTGCAGGGAAAGAGTTTTTTTGTCCTGGAAGCCAGTTCTGTTTGTAGCAATGTGGTATCGCAATTGACGAAGGCTGAACACTATGTGTTCTGTTGCTTACTAGGGGTTATGCGAGTCGTGATTTGGACGACGCGACAGAAGGGATTCTATGAAGGCGAGAAGTTCACCTCTTCCCAACTGATCTTGTACTTTGGGCATCAGCTTAAAGTCAAGATCAGGACAGGAAAACGGCGGCTCCCATCATCAGAATTCGGCAAAAGGTGGGTGAATCTTGCGCGAATGTGTAGAGTGAAAGGGGCTGACCTAGAGTGGCATTTGGATGTCGGTTAGGTACAGAATTTTGTCCTAGCAGGGTTGAACATAGGCAACCCACCCAGATATTAGGCTAGACTAGGTTTTCGTTTTTTGAATTTTTAGTTTCCATTTTTTTCTCCGGTTAACTTAGCTAGGGTATGCAAGCTCATTGGTCCTTTTTTTTTTTTTCTGTCCCTATTTTTTTTTTTACTTTTGTTTAATTCCCCATCCCCTCCCTTCGTTAGGTGGTTAGTGATGTCAGTTTTCTGGTGGATGCGGGGCGCCTTTCGTTTCGGGTGTGTGCTTTCGTATTTGTTGTTGTGTATGAATGAGTGAGTGCTTGATGGTTTGAATGTGTCATTATTTTCTTAGTCCCGCATCGATTTCGTCCGGTTAACTGATATTTCTGCCACATTCATAGTTTGTGGTGGGTTTTATTACTAACTCAGTTTTGTTTAGTTTATTGTAAATAGTTAATTCACTTTGTAAATATTCATTTGGGGATTTTAAAAGTTGTTATTTTATGACCCTCCCCCCCATGAACAATATCTGTAAATAAGGGGACTGGTTAGGACTTCATAGAGAAACTGAAGGTATTATGGTGGACGTAGTAAGAAAGGTAGGAGTGAATGTGATGTTTTGGTGAATGGAGTATTGTTGGCATGTTTGGGTCAGTGTCTGTGACTAGCTAAGTTTTAGATTTAAGACAGAAGAAGACCGTCATTACCCATCCCACTTTTTGGCCTTGTGCCACATTTTGTATTTTAATGCAAATAAATATTAGTAGTTACCAAGTTTCAAGATGTAACCTTCACCGACTACCGTCTTAGTCATTGCTGACCAGACGTTAAAGACAATTACCAACTTTAGACAGTTAGACCTCCAGACCTAGAGAGATGCCCATCAACTCCACGCCAATCAAAACTCTGACTTTGCCGCGTAAAAATATTCTCTGACTCAGCAACCTTCGGGCACACTTTATCTCTTTCTAGAACATTTCTCAAACTTCACTTACTATACTTTCAAAGTGATATTTCTCACTACATAACAAGTATCAATAACTAACAATCTATTTTTCTCAAGCAGATAAAGGTACGCAACTTTGAACAACTTTGAATATTTGTATAAATTGTATATAAATTGATGTTATTGTTATGCATTCAACTTTTGTCTTGTTTTCAACTTTATTTGCATGATTTGTTCCAAGTATTTGTTCTGAATAATTGTTGTGGGCGAATGTTGTAGAACACGTCCTCGAAATTCCTTCTGATCAATTTAAACACAATCACCAGTCTGCAACAAGCGTATTCCGATATGTTATAGGTCTGGAGTTTATAGCTATTTGATCCTCAGATTTGATGATCATTCCGTGAGGAATTCAAATATATTTTGAAAAGTCTTGTGGGAAGGCTTCAATTCTTTCTATAATCCCTTCGGTCTCTTGCTGGTGAAATATATTGTTATAAGCAGTAGCCAAATTTTTCTTTCTGAAAAACGAATAGTTTTATCAAGCACTTTCCAGGCAACTTGATAATTAGATGGCACTGATTTGATCCACAAACATTTTCTCAAAATTCCGGTCAGTGTTAGGTAACTTGAAGACATCTGGGCATGTTTTAGGGTAGGTGGAATTTGGTTCCAATACGAATTTTACTTGTTGTTCGGGACACGCAGAATGTTCAGAAATTATAGTATGGTAGTTGTTTTGAACGTTGAAAGCCTTAGGTCCCGCTGGGGTAACTTGATGTCTATATAGAAAATTTAGGCCGCTCCCGAACAGGGCAATTCCATTCGGCATTTTTCCACTCCAAAGTACTTAACAATTTTGGTATTTTCCATATGTTGGAAAATGTTCACTCCCAGAATTCCTTGAATGTTTATTTGATTACTATCGTTATTATGAGAAAAGGCTAATCTTTAATTTAATTTAGACAAATTGGTTATCACTTGGCTAAAGTAATCGAATTTCAATATTAAATTTGTCGTCTAACAAAGAGGGAATTGGAAATGACCTCCCTTTGACCACATTTACTTCCAACACGACTTGATGTAATCTTTTATTGGAAACACGTAGTTTTTACTTGGAAATCGACAGGATTCAGACTCCAGTCAGGACATTTTAACTTTAATATTTCTTTAGAGAAATACGAACGTTGGCTACCTGTGTCCAATAAGCAGTTTATAGTGATTTTCTTAGCGCCCCAATATAACGTAACTCCCACTATAGATAGCATTCTTGTTTTCCTCATTCGTATTGGCATCCACATGAGTAAAAAGAGATATCCCCTTCTTACGATTATTGCATATTGGTTATTTTATATGTCGTTTAGATGAACATTGCTTACAGGAAAGAAATAATTTATTCTGAAGTCCAGGGCAATCTTCAATTTTAGGTTTACCACTGGAATATCTAATGCATAACTTCAAATATCTGCATCTCACCGCTCTAGACTCATAAAGGCTGGTCCTAAAGTCTTATCACCCCATACATAATATAATTTTCTACTTCAGATGGCTTACAGTTTCGAAGATAGGGTAACAAGACTTTCAGATCACCCTGTAGGTAAAATATTTCGTAAACTTCCCCATGGGGTAACCACGTGCAGCACACAATTCACATTGCGTCCCATTAGAGCTGATGGCGAAATTCTGTAAAGTCCCCCCCCCCATTATCTTCCCTTTCATCGGATATTTTCCATTTTCATGGAAGGCCCTCTTATTTTTTCGTTAGTGTGCGGATGGTGTCATTATAATTCTCAATTACTTCTCTTAAGGAAGGGTAACTGCTACCGACCTTGTGAATGATTTCCCGCCTTAGATTATGGGGTAGCTTACTCGTTTGAATCCAGGGGAATTTTCCTAAAAAAACCATACCATACGCGGTTCTTAACTCTGACAAATCAGCCCTCACTTCGGCAAGATATTGTTTAACAGTCACAAAATCGGAGTTGTATTTAGGAGGCCTGATTAATATTTGTTTGAAGATCTCAGGAATTATAAAAGGCACATTCAAAAAATCTTTCGTTAACAGACTGATACTTCGTTTTTGTCGTTTTCCAAGGTAAGATGCGAGATTAGCTGAAGATCACAGCTGATAAGAAAACTCTTTAAGAGGACTAGCTTTGTTTTGCTATAATTGATGGAATTATTACAGTTGTTAAACTGTGCTACAAAATTCTTGAACTCAAACCTAGAAGGATTAATACCGCTAAATTTTAAAGGGAGGTTTTATCAAGCAAGGGTGTGATAGAGAGAGTCAGGGAAGCACACACACACACACACACACACACACACACACACACACACACACGTATATTTTTTTTAGTGAAATTGGAGTGGATTTGAACAGCGAAATTAGATCAGAGCATTTTTGTTTACTGATGGTGAAACCAGATCTAGGGCAGAATCTGTACCCATTGGAACTGGAAATGGTCGAAATAATTTTTATTGATTAAAACTTGTAATAGAGCTGAGTAAGCAAGGAGGACCTTTTGAATTCACATGATTTTGGTTGAAACAGCAAAAATCCCGTGATAATCACGTGCAAAGTAGTAGGGCCAAGGTTCAGTTGTAATCAGCCGGATTTTTCTATATAAATGCGTAGTTATGCTGAAGAAGAAGCATACGGAAGAGGTAGACGGAAGAGAGAGACGGAAGAAGCAGACGGAAGAGAGAAACAGAAGAGAATTAGCCCGGGCAAGAGTTGGGCTAGAGACAGTGGAGAGTCGAGTTGCAGACTTAAGAAGGAGAGAAAGAGAAGTCAGAGATTGGAACGAAGCGTCCACTAACATGTACTGTTGATATAAGTACCGCTGATTCTGCTACCACGAACATTAATAATACCTTTGCTACTGCTAAGGAGGAACGCCACTATAAACTTTAAGCCGCGCACAGAAATCTTATTCCTCCATCGCAAGAGACGTATATCGTTCTGAGACGATTTAACAACAAGTTAATCATAACACACACACACTCTCTCTCTCTGTATCCATTTGTTTTGTCCAGTCGGGACCGAGTAAGACCAGAAAGGACTCTAGTCTTCAGACTATATTGGTCTAAAAGGGACATAAGGAGGAAAAGATAAGGAACCAAAAGAAGGAGGAAAAAGAAACAAAACACAGAGCGGCGGACCTCAGGTAAGTCACTTTTTGGATTCCGTTTTTTTGCTCATTGCACTTAAATATGCCAGTAATATTGTTGATCTTGTTTTGACTTTGTCGGCTTTGTACGCAATTGAAGCGCCACCACCGTGTTAAGTATTTTTCCTTTCGTTCTGTCGTCGGTCTCTCTTCTTGTAGGAAAGTGGTAGTTGACAAGACGCTAGGATGAGCATAGCAGGATCAGACACCACAGATGACCTTGGGGACGTGGGAGTCCCCGAAATATCGATGGGTTTCAGGAGGCTGATAGGTAGCATGAAGCTACCTACTTATAAAGGAAACCCTGCGGACCTGCACTAATGGATTTTGTCCATTCAGAAGAAGCTGGTGATCTATGGCCTCTCGGACCAAGAAATGGTGCTCCTAGTTTACGACGCCGCAGTGGGGCAGGTGTCCAAGTTCATAGGGGGTGGGGGTACAAAGAAAACCCGGCCCTGACGTGGACCGAGCTTAAATCCGCTCTGGTGCCGCAATACGCAAGTGAGAGTACGGCCATTGAGGCAATCAGGAAATTATTCCAGCTGCAGCAACAAGAAGGAGTGACTAATGAGGAATTGGGGAAAAGGATCGCGGGGCTAGCGGCGTTAGCTTTTCCGGAGTTGGCGACACGGGACAGTGGTCCTATTCAGGCCTTGTTGGCCGATGTATATGTGGACGTGCTGTGTGACAGGGACCTGAGGGGCGATGTTCTGAAGCGGGAACCGGTCAGCCTGGCCGCAGCCATAGAGGCGGCTCGGACCAGCGAACGACTCTGGGATAGAATAAGAGGGGGTGTAGGTAGGAACCCCGGGGGTGCTAAAGTAGTGATGAAAAAGAAGGGCCGGGAGTGGATCCAGATACGGGACCCGAAAGAAGAGGTGGAAGAGGACTGGAAGGCTGAAGCAGTTCCCAATAGATGAACCTGGGATCTGCGTTATGGGTTTCACAAGCCCACACCAGGTCGATATGGGCTGGTGTGCTGGGCTTGCAAGTATGGTGGGCATCGGGCCCACGACTGTCCAACAAACTATGGAGGCGACCCAAGGTCTTTGGGGCCGAATTGCACGACTTGTGGCGAGTTTGGGTACAAGGCTCGGTGGTGTACGGCAGAGGGAGACTGTAAACTGGGGATAATGCGATTTAATACACTTTTGCTCCCTGCCGAGAAGGAAAAGTGTCCGGGAAACGCCGTTGGGGCATCCCGTAAAAAAGTAAGAGGCAGAGTGGCTGGACATGTGGCATGGTCGGGCACTTTTCGTCAAGTTGTAAAGGTGTTGGCGCTGTGGAGGGGCGGGTCACCTGAGACGAACCTGTCCTCGCAGGAGAAAGATGGACCACACCGAACGGAACAATCCTAACTCGAATAGAGGGGAGAAATGGTTTGCTAGTCCGATAAAAGAGAGTCATCCGAGCTCTACTCCACGCAGGAGGACCCCTACACAGAAATGGGAGCCCCTAGAAAAAGTTGTACTGTCACCGACTCCCACATCTCGGTTGTCGAGAAAGCGAGAGGAAGGGAGAGAACATACGGGAAGAAGAAAGGCACAGATATACCGTTTGCTGAAGGAAGGGCCAGACTTCACCTGTGATGTGTTACTGGGAGACAAGAAGGTGAAGGCCTTTGTCGATACTGGAGCTTCAGTGTCACTGGTTAGCTCCAAGGTTTTTAGACAGTTGGGACTGAAAACGAAGCTTAGTCCCGTCGATCTACTAATAAGTCATGCTGATACTAGCAAGATGAGGATAGAGGGTATGACGTGGATACCTTTCCAGTTGGCAAGAACCAGAGATAAACTTAAGGTTTATGTGGCACATGACATGTGTGGTGAGCCAATTTTGGGGAGTGACTGGCTTAGGCAGAATAAGACACAGATCCGTTTCCACCCCGCCACATAACATTGGACGGGGTAGGAATACTGTTGGGAGAGGATAATTATGAACGATTGCCAGTGGTGACCCAGACAGATATAAAGCTTCCTCTAGGACTACTGTATCTGGGAAAGGCAAGATTATAACAGAAGGAGTGCTGAACAGTGACCTGTACCAAGTGGTCCCTACTGATAGGTATGATAATAGGGAAAGGGAAATAACTGTGTGTGATTCGTTGGGGAAGAGGTCAGGGACCGTTCCCTTACTGTTAACCAATACTGCCAATAAAACTATTAAAATAACGCAGGGAGAGGAGCTGGCACAGGTGTGCCCAGTGAGAGAAGTCGAACAGGTGAGAGTATGGAATGAGAATAGGCTTTGGAATAAGACAGGTAGCAATGAAATAAGGGATGAAGATATAACAGCTCCTGAGCGTTATAGGAGGAAATTGAGGGGGTTGCTGAACGGTAATCGGGAGGTAATAGCCATTACGGATAAGGAACTGGGACAGACGGAGACAGTTGAAATGAAGATAGACACGGGTAATCACCCACCTATTAAGTTAAGACCGTATAGGACCCCAATCCTCAAAAGAAAATTAGTAGAGAATACAGAGAATGAAATGATGGAATCAGGGATAATCGAAAGATCCAAATCTCCCTGGAGTTTTCCAATAGTGGTTGTTGAAAAGAATGATGGAGGGCATAGGTTTTGTGTGGATTTTCGTCAATTAAATGCCATTACGAAACCGCTGGCAGTGCCCCTCCCCTTGATTGATGATGTTCTAGCTCTTTTAGGAAAGTCTAAATGTTTTTCCACCTTGGATTTGAGGTCGGGATATTGGCAGGTAGCACTTAGCAAAAAGGATCAGCAAAAGACCGCTTTTACCTGCCACATGGGACTCTTCAATTTTAGAGTTATGCCGTTTGGGCTGGCAAAGGCCCGGGTGTATTTAGTCAGTTAATGTCCATCAAATCACCGGAGGAGCATTTTGAACATCTGCAGAAGGTGTTCGATAGGTTAAGAGAACATGGATTAAAGTTAAAATTGTCGAAGTGTCAGTTTATGAAAGAAGAGACAAAGTACTTAGGGTTTATCATAAACAAAGAAGGAATAAAAACGGATTTAGACAAAGTAGAGGTTATAAGACCTATGCTCGCGCCGAAGACCGTAAGAGGGATTAGGGGATTTATTGGAGCCATCGGATATTATCGGAGGTTCATACCAGCATTTAGTCGGCTAGCAGACCCTCTAATAGCTCTAACTAAGAAGCATGCTAGGTTTAAGTGAACCGAGGATTGTCAGCGTGCATTCGAGGCTCTAAAGGACCAGCTGACAGCTGTACCCCTGTTGGTCTACCCAGATCTGAGTAAGCCCATGGTGCTGTACACCGATGCTAGCGATAAGTGCATCGAAGCGGTTCTTGCACAACCATGTCCCGATAAGGATGGACCAGTACTGTGTGTGCCTGAGTAAGTGCCGATCTATTTTCTGTTTCATCGGCTCTCTGAGACTCAGCAAAGGTGGCCAGTAAAAGAAAAAGAGGCGTTCGCCATTTTGTATGCTGTGCAGAAATTATTATTATTTGAGTGGGGCTGTGTTTACCATTAAAACAGACCACCAACCCCTCAAATATTTGTTCGAGGCGGAGTGGACGAATAAGAAGATACAACAGTGGGCATTGAAGTTAAGTGGGTATAACTGCAGAATAGAATATTTGGCAGGGAAGAATAATAACTGTGCTGACCTGTTATCGAGCATTCTGAGGCAATTAGAGACCGAATCTGTCAGGTTGGAACCGGGTGTGGATGATAAAGCATTCCAAATTAATGTGATCATTCACAGGCGTTGAAGGAGAGACTTAGTAGGGAAGATCAGGAAACGAGTGAAACGGAGATTTTTCCGACCCCCACTGGAGAGATATTATTACGCAAAACCAAGGAGATAGCGAGATAGCAACTATCAGGTCCAGGGTAGAGGCAGGGCGTCCCTCCAAATATATGGTGCACGATGGAGTGTTGTATTACCTTTCATGAAGAGGTGAGGAAGTAAGTTTAAAAATGGTGATACCTCACCTGGGAATTGATAAGACGTATGGATTAATAATGAGAAATTGGCCTAAGTTGTTTAATGATGTTGTGAACCATGTAGAAAAAGTGTGTAACATGCCAAGTACAGAGTCGAAGGAGTAGGGTTGGCCCAGTATTAGAAATAGATGTTCCGAATTATCCATTTCAGAAAGTAAGCATGGATATTTCCGGGCCCCATGAAGAAACACATATAGGTAATCTTTACATAGTGAGTTTTGTGGACTGGCTGACAAATTGGCCTGAGGCATTTGCCATACCGGATAAGAAGGCACGAACGGTGTCAGATATAATACCGAACGAAATATTCCCTAGGTATGGGGCCCCGAACAGTTGGTTACCGATAATGGATCGGAGAATGTGAATCAGATTATGAGAGAGACGTTGGGAGAATTAAACATACAGCACATAACCACCTCTCCATATCACCCCCAAAGTAACGCTAAAGTAGAAAGATTTCATAAGACCCTCGCTGATGTGTTAGCTGAACTAACAGAGGATAATAGGGAAAATTGGGATTTATTCGTAACCCAAGCGTTAGCAGCTGTGAGATTCTCGATGAACGAGACGACAAAATTTTCCCCTTATTACTTGATATATGGCAGGGACTATCTGTTACGACCTAGGAGGAAGTATTTAGGAGAGGATCATCACCAAATAGTTTTAGAACAACAGCATAAAATTTTTATGCAGGTGAGGAGGAGGATTCAAAGAGCCCAGAAAAGGCGAAAGGATAGGGTAAATAAAAATAGAGAAGAAGTTTCCTTCCAGATAGGTGATCCAGTGTATTATAAAATACACATGAGAGAAGGTAAATTGGACCAGAGATGGAGTCCATACTATAGAATCGTGGAGCAGACGGGTCCGGTTTCCTTTGTGATCTGGGACCAATTGACCGGACAGGTAAAGAGAGTGCATGCGAATGATATAAAGCTAGCTGAAATAGGAGAATGGAAAAGAGCCGAAACAAAAACTCAACAGAAAAGGCTGAGGAAATCTACCTTAGTAGAAGCCGAAGGGTTAGAGATTGAGAAGGAAAGTGAAGGGAGTGAGGAGATTGAAATTAGCCCAACTACCCTTCGAAGGCTGAGGGCGGTAAATCGCACCCCAGCGGGACATTCTGAGGAAGCAGGGATTGAGCCTAACCTTAGGGAAGAAGAAGAAATGAGCGAATGGGAAGAAGAGGATGAAATTCCTTTAGCTCAATTGCAGAGTAAATTGTGGGCTGAAAAGGTTAATGAGGAATTGCCACTAAATCTGCGATTAAGGGGGCGGTGCAGCCCAAGCCCAAAGATTAAGTGAAACCAGTGGCGAATGAGAGACGGTCTGGGATTGACTGTGCATTTATCATCGGTGCTGATGAACTGTGTGGACGGTCCCCATGCATACACGGTGCTGGTGTGGGTCAGTGCTTGAGGTGTCGCTCTAAGATGTAACCACCTGCTAAAAACAATAAGTGAATGATTGAGTAAGACGAATTATCCTCACCATCTCCTTGCAGAAATGCACGAGAGGAGGTTCGTGGTACTGACGATGCTAGTTGTGTTAGCTAATACCTGTGAATACAGTGAGAATACTGTATTTAAGAAGACTAGCGAAGTGATTATATCTAGATCAAAGTGGTTGATAACTTTGATGATAGATCTGCAGCCGTATGAGAAGTTACTGGGTCAGCTGAAGACCGAAGTGGACAAACTAGATACAGCTAGGACACAAGTCGTCGGAGAATATTTACAGACTCCTGAATACCACCGTATATTTTACCCCTTAACTCAGGAATCCCTAATAGTTGAGAGGCAATGGAAGGATATGAGTTACTATTTGAAAGGAATAAAGTTGTTACGGACCAGGCAAAAGAGGGCAGTATTACCTATAATGGGAAAGGCATTAAACGTGTTGTTTGGTACAGTCTCCGAAGACGAAGTGAGAGTAATTAAGAGGAAATTAAAGGCGGTAGAACAGAGACAACAAACAATGGCTCGGTCGGTTAGAGTAGAGCATATCTATACTCAATGTTACTAGGCTGGAATTGAGGGAGTATTAATTGGCTGATTTCTCACTTACAGGTTTTTAGAAAAGAAGTGATAAATGTAACCACGTCTGTAACAACCGAATTATAGAAATTAGAAAGGTTTTTGCAAAGGTATTTTTAATTATTAGCTGTAATGAGTAAGGTACGTCAAACAATTCGCTTAACGGTGTTGTTAGAGTATGTGAAAGCACAATTAGACATGCTGTCGCTGGGACACCTGTCTCCGAGTATAATAACTCCAGAATGATTAAGGGAAGTACTACTGGAGATACAAGCCAAACTACCCCATCACCTTAGATTACCTGTAGACCCCACCCAGCAGTTATGGAGGTATTATAGCACCTTGGGATGTACTACCTTGTTGGAAGATGACAAATTGCTAGTGCTAGTGCCAGTTCCCTTACTGGACAGAGATAGTACCTTTGAAATTTATCAGGGGATGAATCTTCCCCTTCCCAATCCAAAACTAGGGCCGAAGATATTAGCGGTGGCTAGGTAGAAGGTAGAGACGGAATTTGTTGCCCTAAACCTAGCCAGGATAGAGTTTATGCTATTAACAAAGGGAGAAGCAGAAAAATGCAAGAATCATGCCTTAGGTATCTGTGGGTCTGTAAATCCAATTTACGTGACAGATAGTCACAATGTGTGTACTAGGTCTATTTAAGAAAAATAAGAAGGGAATTAGAGATCATTGTCAGGTAGAGGTGTTGGCTAGTGTAATGTTACCTAAAGCAACCAGTGTCTCTGACGGAATTTGGGCGGTGGCCACCCAAGAAGAGATCGAATTATCTAAGGTGTGTGAAGCGAAGTCTACCACTACGATAAGAGTTATTCCCCTTTGTTTTTCGTAGAGCTACCCATCGTTTGTGGAGCTCATGGTCCATCTATATGTTTACCCCCCTACTACCGAGAAGAAGAGAAGTTTGAAGAGAATGAGGCTTTGTTGGAGCTGGTAGAAACGAATGCCAGTGGATGGACGGGATTGTGGGAACCCATTGTAAGAGAAATTCCTAAGATGTCGCTAGAAAAGATGCCGGTGTTGTTAAGGCCAATCGATAAGTTTGATCTTGGGTGGTTGAAGTCGGAGTTAGATAAGATAGGTACACCGAATTCGGGCTGGAGAGAGAATTGGGTTGCTATAATAACCTGGCCGACCGTTGTGGGAATTATACTAATGATAGTCGTGGCCTTGCTGGTTTGGTGGTGGTTGAAGAGGCGTGCTGTATTGTCGATCGGGCAGAATAGACTGGCACGGGAGTGCATGAGTGAAGGAGGGATTCCAATTAGTGCACTTTACCAAGGTAGATCCGACCCGAGTACATTGGAACCCCCAACTGATATTGAAGAAGAGTCCACGATTGTCGTGGAAGGACCTGAACCAACAAAAGATTCGACAAAGCCTGTTGTGAAGGCGAGACAAAATCGGAGGGACAGATTTACGAAATAAATCGATTTTTTTTTATTTTTAGTAATGAGACTGAAATAATTGGTAAGGGGTGTTGCGAACTTCAAAAGAAAAAAAAAGGAAAGAACACTCGAACTAGTGAACTATGTGAAAAGGTTCTATTGCACGAGAACACCAAAACAGTGAATTTTAACCGGAAGTTGCATGTACACATGTGTCGTAAGGACAATGAAAATGTAAATGGGCATAAGGAGCCCTAAGAAGAACTAAGGACTATACCTTTGCATGCTGGAAGAGACGTATGTTTAAGTAGACCCTTGTAAGAAGCATGTTGAACTGGGTTTTCTCATATATTGTTGATATGAAAGCTTGTATGTCATTTACTTGTAAATGACAGATGGGTAGGGGAGAAAATGTGACAGAGAGAGTCTGAGAAACACACACTTATATTTTTTTAATGAAATTGGAGTGGATTTGAACAGCGAAATTAGATCAGAGCATTTTTTTTTTTTACTGATGGTGAAACCTGATCTAGGGCAGAATCTGTACCCATTGGAACTGGAAATGGTCGAAATAATTTTTATTGATTAAAACTTGTAATAGAGCTGAGTAAGCAAGGAGGACCTTTTGAATTCACATGATTTTGGTTGAAACAGCCAAAACCCCGTGATAATCATGTGCAAGGTAGTAGGGCCAAGGTTCAGTTGTAACCAGCCGGATTTTTTCTATATAAACGCGTAGTTATGCTGAAGAAGAAGCATACGGAAGAGGTAGACGGAAGAGAGAGACGGAAGAAGCAGACGGAAGAGAGAGACAGAAGAGAATTAGCCCGGGCAAGAGTTGGGTTAGAGAGAGTGGAGAGTCAAGTTGCATACTTAAGAAGGAGAGAAAGTGACGTCAGAGATTGGAACGAAGCGTCCACTAACATGTACTGTTGATATAAGTACCGCTGCTTCTGTTACCACGAACATTAATAATACCTTTGCTACTGCTAAGGAGGAACGCCACTATAAACTTTAAGTCGCGAACAGAAATCTTATTCCTCCATCGCAAGAGACGTATATCGTTCTGAGACGATTTAACAACAAGTTAATCATAACACACACACACTCTCTCTCTGTCCAGAATCCAGTGTATGCGTTTTTACGTCAATTATTTTTCTTTTCTGTAACCCGTTTCTTTTCTATACTATTCTTTTCTGCTATATAAAAGGCATTAACAATTCAATCATTAAATAGTTGTTTGTCCGGCTTTCTGCAGATATTAATTTTTTTTTTGCTGCATTCTAAATTTCTTAGCGCAGACTCTCCAGCCGTGTCTACATCTTCAGTCGACCGTGAATGGATGAACATCACTTCTGCTTTCTGGATCAAACCAAACACAACGTGAACAGGAAGCAGGATTAAACCAGTGGACCGTTCGAATAATCTACAGATGCTCAGGGGACCTACGGTCACTCTCTTAAGTTCGGTTAGACACCTCAACCCAGAAATTAAGAAGTCGGAGGTTGAGGGGCTGGGGCGAAAGTGTTAGAAGGGGAGCAAGCAATTATTTTTAAAATATTGGAAGTCGATGAATTGTAATCAGCTTTGCCATTATGATTAGTAAATATGGTTTTTACTTAGTAAACATATCACCTAATCGATACAGAATTTTAAAAGTTAAAATTAAAAAACATAATTGAAAACAATAAGTGGGGGTTAAAAGATGCAAAAAGTATTTTCCAAAGATTTTTTTAAAAAGAAACATTTCAGAAATCAATTTAATTCATTTCTGAATAAGTCCTGAAAATTTCATTAAAATACGACAATTATTTGATTTTTGCAAGAATTTCTAATTCAATATGTTTTTCACCGCAAAAAAAGACGCTAAAATTTCCTATACTAATATTTGGTCTACCTGGTGATGCAAGAGAAACAAGATTTTAACCAAAATGTCAAATGTTCTAAAAAGGATCAAAAATATAATTTAATAATCAAAAAATCTTTTGCTCTTTCCTCTTAATAATAACATAAAGATTTTGACGACAAAACTTTGTTTTTATTAAGTTTGGGACATTTCTTCATCATGTATGCTCACTTTTTAGCGAAACTTTGCAGGGAAGACTTTACCGAAGAGTGGTAGCAGACTGATAGATGGGTCAGAAAAGTCTCCAGATTTCCTAAAAACGGGGACAACAGATGAGGACTTCCAACAGCCTGGAAAGCAAGTCGGTGAGGCAGTAGTTGTATAGTTTGGAGCTGACAAGAACGAAACAAAATGACAAAATTTATTAAGAACTACGAAGGACTGGAAATTATGGAGAGCTATGATCGCCTACGTCCTGAGGGGACATGGCACTTAAAGAAGACAAATGTCTACCATCACAACTTTGGGGCGGTGGGCCTTAATGAGTTGTATGAGCTATACATACATATACCCATAATTGACCACCAGCAACTTCAAAGAGAATGTCTTCAAGCATCTACCCACTTCCACCAACAAGTTTACACTCAAAGACACAGCTGAAAGTTAAACATACTCATCTTTCCTCTTTTTAATCATTTACTCTAAGTAAGAGGTTACTGACTGTTAGAGAATATGAGAAAAAATCACTATTAAGGAGAGAGAACAATAAAAGGACAAGGATTCAGACGATAACGATTGACATTGCTTTTAAATTTTTGACTATAAAACAAGAAGCCAGAAGAGAGTTACACTGTTATGGTGACATAACAGTGATACCACTTTTAAAAATATTTTTATTATAAGTTTTTAAGTAAGGTAAAGAATTTCTTCTTTGATCTATGATCAGTGTTGAAACATAAATATTCGATTATTTGAAAGACAAAAAATAATTTTATATATGCATTAGGGTCATGGCTTTTTTTGAACGTATGTTTCTGTGATATAAATTGATAAACATTTGTTCAAAACTAACGAAAAAGATATTAATTTATTTTAGTTCTTG